AGGGGTGCAAGTTCTGCAGGCAGGGGTGTGCAGGGAGCGGATCGTGGCTATCCCGACCCCAGCCCTAGTGCTGCTCCCTGCCCAGCCATGCATCCTGCCCATGCCACTCCTGATCAGTCCTCACAGAGACTATGTAGAAAAAAGTTTATTCAAGCCAGCTGGGTATAAGCGCCCATTCCCCTCCCCTTCCTCCCCCTATCTTCCACAGCCAAATATTATTTTTGTTCTCCAAGTGAGAGAAATGGAAGGGAAGGGCCACCACCAGGGAGGACTACACCTCAGGTGCTTGGGGCTGCAAGGGGGTGGTCAGGAAGGCCAAGGCGGAGATGGGACTGGGACTAGCGACCCGGATCAAGGACAACAAGAAGTCCTTTTTTAAATACATAGCGGGTAAAAAGAAGGTACCAGGTTACATGGGGCCTCTGCAAGACACGCTAGAAAATCTGGTCACATCAGCCAACAAAGCTAACCTATTTAACAATTTCTTTGCCTCCGTTTTTCTGAGCAGGGACTAGGTCACCCCCCCGTGACTGGGACCCTCCTCAGGCCCCGGGGGAGGCGCACCCAGTCCTAGGGGCAGTGAGGACCTAGTCAGGGAACTTCTGGGGGGACTGGATGTATTTAAATCAGCTGGTCCTGGCGACCTCCACCCCAGGGTGCTGAGGGAATTAGCAGAGGTCATTGCAGGACCCCTGGCATAGCTTTACGAGCACTCGTGGTGCTCTGGTGTGGTGCCAGAGGACTGGAAAAGGGCCAATGTGGTCCCCATTTTCAAAAAGGGGAGGAAGGAGGACCCAGGAAACTATGGGCCAGTTAGTCTTACCTCGATCCTGGGTAAGCTTTTTGAGAGAGTTATCCCGGCGCATGTCCATGAGGGGCCGGCAGGGGAGATCATGCTCAGGGGCAACCAACATGGGTTCATTCAATGCGGGTCCTGTCAGACCAACCTGGTGGCCTTCTATGACCAGGTCACAAAATCCTTAGACGCAGGGGTAGCAGTGGATGCAGTCTTTCTGGACTTCAGGAAGGCCTTCGACACTGTCTCTCACCCCGTTCTCATTAAAAAACTACGGGACTGTGGCGTCAACACCTACACAGTCAAATGGGTCGCTAACTGGCTGGAGGGCCGCACCCAGAGAGTGGTGGGGGGGGGGGC